CTATTGGTGACAATTTTGGCTACGGTGACTGCCACGGGTCATAGCATGACATTAGTTCATCTGGTGAGTGTAAAACCCTTTTTTAAACGTAAACCTGATCGTAACYCAACCAACCAACCAAATAAAACAATCAAGCAAATAAAACAATCAAGTAAGTCAAATCAATCAGTCAGTCAAGCAATCAACCAKCCACTGAATTAGCCCATCAATAATATCTCAATAGATTAATCAATTGGAGRTTRAGATCTCTCCATCTCACTATATCTGTAGTGTTTACATATCTTGTAATTGGGTTACCTGTGTATTTTGTATGGGAGATTGATTATGTGTATTAAAGCAWGGAGTCKACAGGAYTCGTGTAATCTGTTTYCATCGTGCTAATCCGGTAGTAGATAGTACAAATTAGCGACKAGGATGGAATGATGAATGTGAAWGTGAATCTATTGTTTCTTTGCCCAAGGCTAAACCAACCAAACAATAACCAATCAACCACTAACAAACCAACCAACCCACTAACCAACCAACCAACCAACCAACCAACCCACCAACCAACCCACCAACAACCAACCAACTAATCAATCAGTCAACCATTGGAGGTTGAGATCTCTCTATCTCACTATATCTTTGTGAATCTATTGTTGCTTTTCCTAAGGCTAAATTCTCTGAAGATATTGGTATTGATAGCTATCGATCATCCTGGTTGTACTTCATCATTGGATTCAGCTCAACAACATCTAGACTTCTTGTTGGAAAATTTGGAAAAGTCGGYCCACTTTCTCTTCTAGATATAGCCCTTCTTGGTAATGTTATTCTCGCTTTGGGGAATTTTGTTCTACCGTCAACATCAGTGTACTATGGAATGGTGCTRTATTCCATTGGTTACGGTGTAGGGGAGGGGTTAGTATACACGCCAATTTTTAACATTGCAATTGATAGCGTACCAGCTGATAAAAGGGGTAGTGGTTATGGTATTTTCCAGATGTGTTATTGCTTGGCGTATCTCATTGGACCTATTTTATCAGGTAAGTTGAGCGGTACGATAATGTAGTTCAATGTGGCAGTTCACAGTTCCCATGTAGCGCCATTTTGAAGCCAAGGCTAGCTTGGCATCAAAGCGAGACAGGAATTGAGACTGGATTGAGTAGGTATCTATCACTGCAGGCTCAACTCCTGTCTCGCTTATACATGTCCAACACTGGATTATGGTACACCCTGTTCTCCATACGATCCCCCTTGTCCCATGCATGGACAATACCCGACATTCACTGGAAAAAATCGCGCGCTTTAAAAAGGTTGTAAATTTGATGTACATATCATGTAAATGTCCAAAATTCTGTAAATTTGATGTAAATGATTTCCATGAAATTTACAGAATTTTGGACACTTACATCATATTTACATCAAATTTACAACCTTTAAAGCGCGCGATTTTTTCCAGTGCATTACCCTTGATATTTAGGAGCAGACTGCTAAACTAGTGTGGCAGTCCTATCCCCTTGTCCCTTAAGGGAACGACATGTTCATTGTCCCCTTGTAGGCTTGGTTACCTTTAAGGATGACGCCGGTAACATTCAGTGGAGCATTCTTGTTCCTCTTTTTATGTTAATCCCATAGATACGTAGCGACATCTTTATAAAAATACATGGGTATGCTTGTCAAAAGTGTTAACATGGACCTCTAAGGGACACAATTCCTTTGCATTGATAGGCACCAGTGCTCAGGACCCGGCAACAATAGGAAGAATAAAATGGTGGGAACTAGCGGTGAACTAGTGTGAGCTGCGTCGGTGTTTCTAAAGAAACAGTTGTGTAGAAAGATAAATTTAACACCGTAAAAAAAGTATGTGAAATAACTTACTGACGTTTCGGACGTTAATCCTTTGTCCGCATAATAGGAAGACTAAGCCAAGTTTAAACGGTCAACAATCATCCAAAAACTTCTGTGATCGTTTCCTTTATTATAAAAATGACCTCTTCTTAAAAGATGCTTTCGTATTGCTTTAATTCTGAAGACGACGAATTTTCGCATGGAAAAAAAATCGCGCAAAGGCTCTTGGGTGCATGCGGGCTTTTAATGAGCTCTGTTCTGGGTTCAGTGCTCGGATTTTCATCTGGGTCACAATATTACAGGATTCCTAGCTTCCTCATGCAAACAGAGATTTAGTTTACCTTTATCAATGTTGTCTTTAGGTTTTATAGCAGACGTAAGTGGATCATACAACAATGCCTTCTACACTGCTGGCTCGCTAGAAGTCTTTGCTGGATGTCTGTATATTTTAACTCGTTGTATTCCATCATCAAATAGAGAAGTTATTTTGGATGGGACTTTGGATACCCAACTTGTAGTAGTTGAGAAAGAAACTGTACTTTAGAGTTAAGAAAGATCTCTTCRCATACATTCTGGATTTTCTTCTTGATATCTTTCTGCCCTGTAGTTACTACGTCTCTGCTTGGACATTACTGTCTAATTCATGTCAATTCATTTCATGCCCGTGAAACACGTCTAACTGTTTAAAAGTGAAGTCAAATGGACACAATAAAAAATAATGCAATTAAAGCACATTAAGGTGTATCTATTTCACGGGTTTTAATGACGCCGCTCCAATGACTCYAAACTTGTGAAATTAGAGTGATCGCCCTTAAAGCGTGCAACTGTACAAAATTTAAGTAGTATTAATTTGTACTAAAAGTGAACCTGAATGCTTGATWTGTATCAATTCAATTTAATTTGCGTAMCGCATCARTGCAAGATTTACTAAATACAACTAAAAAGAACTATTTAGTTTGTACAGTTGCACGGATTAAGTGCGATCACTCTATACAAAATCAACAGCACAATTTTGTACAAAATCTTTAGCTGAAGCGGAGCATCCTTTGAATCTTCTTAATTTTTTATGASAGTGATCGCACTCAGTAAACCGTGCAACTGTAGAAAACCTAAGTAGTACGAATTTATCGATACTAGTGCACTAGTCAATTGAAACCCCCGACCCCCGGGGAATACCGGGGAATTTAACGTTTGAGTGGTGTTAAAATAAGACATTTTCCCCGGTAGTCGGGGCATATTCATTGTTAAAATCCCCCGCTATTTTGGTCTAGTAGTAAATAACAAAACAAACACCTTTCAATCCAATWTTCTGTTATACACTGGGTTAATGTTTGTATAATCCTGTTGCGTTCCACATGAGGCTAACTGGACGGAGAAAAACATGTGTAATAAGTTTCTTTTAAAAATGTTTCAGTCAAGGAAAAATAAACAAATAAAAATCGGGGTTGAATGCCAATGCATTCAGGGTATTTCTCAAGATGGCCGACCTCTAATTTTCAGCCTTATACATGTTCAAACGCTCGTGTTAAAAAATCCCCGCTCTTTGCCCCGCTTCGAAACCAATAGCCCACTTCGCGGATAACAAAGCTATTAGAAATTGAGAAAATAACGAAAAAAGATTGCCACCACTGGAAAGAACAGTGTAAAATTGGTATGTTTATCAGGTTTGAGYATGATTCGATGAAAATTCAAGGAGATACAGCGTTTAAAAGTCCAAAATTTAAATGAGAAATGTATGGGCTGTCGGCATGAGATCGAGGTTGACCTTGACTTGTCACAAHCTCGCCAAACATTTCTAAGCAAAATTTAGTGTTTTTGAAGTGCCGTATCTCTTTGAATTTTAATCAGATTATTTTCAAACTTGGC